ATCCCTCCGGAAGGAGAGCTTCATCCCGTGCAAATAGTCTTGGGAAAGGTATGAATCTACTTCTTCTCCCCTCAGCTATGGGTTAACTAATAAGACTTGTATCATTAAACCAGTATTATCTTTAAAAAATTCTTAGAATCTAAAAATATCTTCTGGCTTTAAATAACCTCCAAAAGGTTGATAAACCGCAAAAAACGGATCAATAAATCTATAAAAATACTCCATAACATTCATCTCAAATAGCCTCTGACAACAAAGTCTATCTCCAACTGGCGAGAAGGGGCGAAGGCGGACCACTGGCGCCTCATAACCAGCAGATGGGATTAATATATCTTATCAGCCTGGGAACACATTCAAACTAGGGGAATGAAAACCATTATTTTAAACCTCTGCTGCCTTGCTGTCATATCCCGTCACAGGAAAGGCTATGGACGTAAATCCAGACAAAATCCGAAGTGGAGCTCTGAAGTCGGTTTGCTGTCAATACAGGCAACTTTCTGGTAATTCTTATATATTATCGCCTAGGCATGTGCTCTGGAGAGGTTCTTCCAGTCCCACTACCAAAGGAATTAATTTTGACCAAACAGGCCACTGTCTACTATTATATGTATGATGTATATCGACAAAACCATTGCCTGACGAAGTTCGTTGTTGGAACGAAACGTTTATTTGGACACGTCTATACCTGTGGCCACGAGGAAAATGTTTATAATAGCTAATTACTTGTTTTAGACGCTAATACAAATCGCTTCTTTAATTAATTTAGAGATTTACTTAGACAAGTGCCGACGTGAAATTGTGCAGATTAAAATAGCCTTAACCAGAGCAAGTAATTTCACTGGTCTCTATTTACATTATTTACATTGTTCGAACTGTTGTCCTCATCTTTGTTGCCATATTCACGACGTTTCGACCGTTGTACGCTCTGACCTTCTTCAGGATCTGTCTCTATTTTCTGAGATGAGGGATTGTAATTATTTACCTTAGTTACATTGTTCGGACTGTTGACCTCATCTTTGTTGCCATTTACACGACGTTTCGACCGTTGTACGCTCTGGCCTTCTTCAGGATCTGTCTCTATTTTCTGAGATGAGGGATTGTAATTATTTACCTTAGTTACATTGTTCGAACTGTTGACCTCATCTTTGTTGCCATTTGCACGACGTTTCGACCGTTGTACGCTCTGGCCTTCTTCAGGATCTGTCTCTATTTTCTGAGATGAGGGATTGTAATTATTTACCTTAGTTACATTGTTCGAACTGTTGACCTCATCTTTGTTGCCATTTGCACGACGTTTCGACCGTTGTACGCTCTGGCCTTCTTCAGGATCTGTCTCTATTTTTTCTGAGATGAGGTATTGCAATTATTTACCTTAGTTACATTGTTCGAACTGTTGACCTCATCTTTGTTGCCATTTGCACGACGTTTCGACCGTTGTACGCTCTGGCCTTCTTCAGGATCTGTCTCTATTTTCTGAGATGAGGGATTGTAATTATTTACCTTAGTTACATTGTTCGAACTGTTGACCTCATCTTTGTTGCCATTTGCACGACGTTTCGACCGTTGTACGCTCTGGCCTTCTTCAGGATCTGTCTCTATTTTTCTGAGATGAGGGATTGTAATTATTTACCTTAGTTACATTGTTCGAACTGTTGACCTCATCTTTGTTGCCATTTGCACGACGTTTCGACCGTTGTACGCTCTGGCCTTCTTCAGGATCTGTCTCTATTTTCTTCTGAGATGAGGGATTGTAATTATTTACCTTAGTTACATTGTTCGAACTGTTGACCTCATCTTTGTTGCCATTTGCACGACGTTTCGACCGTTGTACGCTCTGGCCTTCTTCAGGATCTGTCTCTATTTTTCTGAGATGAGGGATTGTAATTATTTACCTTAGTTACATTGTTCGGACTGTTGACCTCATCTTTGTTGCCATTTACACGACGTTTCGACCGTTGTACGCTCTGGCCTTCTTCAGGATCTGTCTCTATTTTCTGAGATGAGGGATTGTAATTATTTACCTTAGTTACATTGTTCGGACTGTTGACCTCATCTTTGTTGCCATTTGCACGACGTTTCGACCGTTGTACGCTCTGGCCTTCTTCAGGATCTGTCTCTATTTTCTGAGTTGAGGGATTGTAATTATTTACCTTAGTTACATTGTTCGAACTGTTGACCTCATCTTTGTTGCCATTTGCACGACGTTTCGACCGTTGTACGCTCTGGCCTTCTTCAGGATCTGTCTCTATTTTCTGAGATGAGGTATTGCAATTATTTACATTGTTTGGACTGTTGTCCTCGTCTTCAGGACTGCTATTACATCGCAACGCAGCAATTTGTTTCAAACGGAATTTTCCTTTTTCTTAATACTTAATTGCTTAGCTTTTGGAAGGTATGTTTCGCTAAAAAAAGGTACCTTCGGATTTCGGCGCCACATTTTCTGTCATTGGTTAAAACCAGGGTCGGTAAAAGAGTCTGGCCGGGCCAACCAAGCCTATGATACGGTCCCACACTCTACTAAGATCTTAATTTTCATGTGGTAAGATACAATTTATATTGTAACCTAATTATGTACAATAATTGATCATCTGCAATATAGGTGAACAATGCAACTAGAAAAATTGAAAATAAATACAATGTATCTAAATACAAATTAGAGACATGTTATAATAGATCGTTCCATCTTAAACAACATTTTATATGATCATGGCTCTCGACAACTTCCTGTTTTTTGCTGCTCAAAGTAACTCTTAGTCTTACCCTTTCATCCTCTTTCTGTTTTACCATCCAGGGGCAAGGGTCTCGTATCTGCCATCAAATCTATGATATGGCCCTTTCATTCTATTACATCTCAATTTTCATAAGGTAGTATTCATATAAAATACAAATTTTATTCTAACCTAATTATGTACAATAATGGATCATATGCAATATAGGTGAACAATTCAGCTAGAAAAATTGAAAATAAATCCAATGTATCTAAATACAAATTAGAGACATGCCATAATATAGATCATTCCATCTTAAATAAATCAACAACGTTTCGTATGATCATGTCTCTCAATAACTTCCTGTCTTTTGCAGCTCAAAGTAACTCTTAGTCTTACCCATTTATACTCTTTTTGTTCTACCATCCAGGCCCATTTCAAAGATAATTATAATAGATCATTCCATCTTAAATAAATCAATAAGGTTTTGCGGTAATTTTTAACATCAACTTGAGATTTTTTTCAGTGATTATTAAGCCCTTCTTTATGAAGGGCGTTGTTAATGGCCAGTCTTCTGAAGCGCATCAGTCCTACACTCTTTTCCATTTTATATTAACAATCTGCCCAATAATAGACTCAAATCATTAGTAAATATATATGTAGATTATGGGTGCACTCCCCAAAAAGTAGATGATCCAACTGTGGCAGTTGATCTAACCTCAAACCTTAAATCCAAGATCAAGGGTCTTGTGCACATTAAGATACCGGGACCTCCATTCTATTACATCTCAATTTTCATAAGGTAGTATTCATATAAAATACAAATGTTATTGTAACCTAATTATGTACAATAATGGATCGTATGCAATATAGGTGAACAATTCGACTGGAAAAATTGAAGATAAATCCAATGTATCTAAATACAAATTAGAGATCATTCCATCTTAAATGAATCAACAACGTTTTGACCGATCATGGCTCTCGACAACTTCCTGTCCTTTGCTGCTCAAAGTAACTCTTAGTCTTATTCTTTTATCGTCTTTTTGTTCTATCATCCAGGGCCGGTTCAATGGTCTTGTACCTGCCATCAAATCTATGATATGGCGCCCACTCATATCAATTTGTCATAAGGTAGTATTCATATAAAATACAAATTTCATTGTAACCTAATTATGTACAATAATGGATTTAGGTGAACAATTCAGCTAGAAAAATTGAAAATAAATCCAATGTATCTAAATACAAATTAGAGACACGTCATCATAGATCATTCCATCTTAAACAAATCAACAATATTTTACGGTAATTTTTAACATCAACTTGAGATCCCCAGAATGAAATCAAAAATTGTCGGTCCTTTAATAGTCACCCTTGCTTAGTTTAATTTGTAAAACAATATAGGTAAAAAAAAAAAAAAAAAAAAAAGGGCAAATGCTGATAAGATGGTGAGGGTCACAAAGCACTGCCCTGGTTCCCGATCATGAGCAAACCCCTCCACTGCCAGAATGACGTCACGAAAAAATGTTTTCATCCTTTAATAGTCAGTTGTGCTTAGATTAATTTATAACGTCCATGAAATGTAGGTAGAAAAAAAAGCAAATATTGATAAGAAAGTAGGGGTCAGAAAGCAGTGGCCGGGAACCCTTATCAGACTTGCCCAGCGGACGGGGAGGTTAGAGAGTAATACACGCCGGCTCTGGTTAAAACACTTCCCAGAGAGTTAACTTCCTGTACTGGCTTGAGTTTTGACAACAACAATTTACAGCTCACACTCCTGCCTTTTTACGGTTGATGATTAGTCTTTTCTTCCATCTTTCCTTTACTAACTTGTGTACGAGTTTTTGTGCTTTTCTTTCTGTAACCCTTTGATGATAAGTCTGTGCCAACCAATAATAACTTTAAGTCGTTTAGTTCTCTTGGGACTGCCTCGCTGTCAAGTTTAAATAAATCCGATGAGAAAACATTACCTTGTGCACGTTGACCCTTTCTATTTTTGTGAACTTAATTCATTTTCTATTCGTATACAGGCGATTTCCTCCCAGGATATGTTCTGGATTATTCTAATGGGAATTTAGTTTCTGTAGCAGTTTACATAGGTCTTTCTTTCTTTCTTTCTTTCTTTCTTTCTTTCCAATTCTTTTTTTTCAATAACTCTCTTTCGTACTTTCTTTCTATCTCCCTTTCTTTTTTCTTTTTTTCTATATCCTTTTTTCTTTATTTCTGTAACTCTCTTTATTTCAATAACTGTCTTTCTTTCTTTCTTTCTTTCTTTCTTTCTTTCTTTCTTTTTATATGTCCTTTTTCCTCTATTTCTATAACTTTCTTTCTTACTTGTTTTCTTTCTTTTTTCTCTTTTATCCCGTCCCCTTTTCTTTCTTTCTTTCTTTCTTTCTTTCTTTCTTTCTTTTCTTTCTTTCTTTTCTCTTTATTGTTATCTATCCATTTCTTTTTTTTCAATAACAGTTTCTTTTCTTCTTTCTTTCTTTTTATAACTGTCTTTATTTTTTAAAATTTTCTTTCTTTCCTTCTTTCTTTCTTTCTTTCTTTCTTTCTTTCTTTCTTTCTTTCTATAACTCTCGTACTTTCTTTCTCTTTATTGTTATCTATCCATTTCTTTTTTCAATAACTCTTTCTTTCTTTCTTTCTTTCTTTCTTTCTTTCTTTCTTTCTTTCTTTCTTTCCAATTCTTTTTTTTCAATAACTCTCTTTCGTACTTTCTTTCTATCTCCCTTTCTTTTTTCTTTTTTTCTATATCCTTTTTTCTTTATTTCTGTAACTCTCTTTATTTCAATAACTGTCTTTCTTTCTTTCTTTCTTTCTTTCTTTCTTTCTTTCTTTCTTTCTTTCTTTCTTTCTTTCTTATATGTCCTTTTTCCTCTATTTCTATAACTTTCTTTCTTACTTGTTTTCTTTCTTTTTTCTCTTTTATCCCGTCCCCTTTTCTTTCTTTCTTTCTTTCTTTCTTTCTTTCTTTCTTTCTTTCTTTCTTTCTTTCTTTCTCTTTATTGTTATCTATCCATTTCTTTTTTCAATAACAGTTTCTTTCTTTCTTTCTTTCTTTTTATAACTGTCTTTATTTTTTAAAATTTTCTTTCTTTCCTTCTTTCTTTCTTTCTTTCTTTCTTTCTTTCTTTCTTTCTTTCTTTCTATAACTCTCGTACTTTCTTTCTCTTTATTGTTATTTATCCATTTCTTTTTTCAATAACTCTTTCTTTCTTTCTTTCTTTCTTTGTCCTTTCTTTCTTTCTTTTTATAACTGTCTTTATTTTTTGAAATTTTCTTTCTTTCTTTCTTTCTTTCTTTTTTTCTTACTTTCTTTCTTTCTATAACTAGCTTTATTTTTTATAACTTTCTTTCTTTCTTTCTTTCTTTCTTTAACTCTCTTTATTTTTATAACTTTTTTCTTTCTTTAACTCTTTTTCCTTCTTCCTTTCTTTCTTTTTATTGTTATTTATCCATTTCTTTTTTCAATAACTCTCTTTCGTGTTTTTTGCTTTGTTTGTTTGTTTGTTTGTTTCTTTCTTTCTTTCTTTCTTTCTTTCTTTCTTAACACCTAAATATTCCCTCCCTTTCTTTCTCATTACACAATCTCTGTGCAGAGAGACTGAAAGAAAATCAATTTTAAAAACAAAATTATAAAAGAAACTGTCTCTGTTATTTTCAGAATTTTCGACTTTGCGAACAAATAGCATATTCTACGTTTCAAAGAATCTACATTGATGTTTTGCTCGACTCTGCTACGTTCACTGTCAGTTCTAATTAACCTAGCATCAAGGAACCCTTCAAGAGCCATTTTCGGCCACTAAGTATTGCGCTGTCGATGTACGGGTGGTGGGGTGTAAAGCGTATCGATCTCAGGACGAGAAATTCGACTGAGATTATTACCTTCACACTTTCAAACAAAAACATTTGGAAAAGATATAACTCCATCCTTTCGTCTTCAGCTATGGACTCTCTCGCCGCAGACTCTCAGTCTAAACCCTCGAGCCGTGATTGGCAACAAGTGTAGGAGAAAGAATTCAAAACCGTATTCGGCCCTATTGGAGAGCATACTTGGATTATAACTGAGGTTCGCTTTTCAGTATAAACCGCAGGTTGGCTTTGAACAAGTACAAATGAGCAGATGGACCTGCTTGGAAACGAAGAGTAACGCTGAAGTTGAGAAAACACATTGTTCTTATATATATATATATATATATATATATATATATATATATATATATATATATATATATATATTAAATTAATTGATTTAAAATATGTTTTTTTTTGCTACACGGTTCTAACCATGTTTCAAAAATGGAAGCTGAAAGCTCCGAATTTAATTTTGTAATTAAATTAAAGACATTGGTTCCATTTCATCCTCAAGCGAATTTTGGAGTCTCCTGGTTAGAACTGTGTAGCGAAAAAAAAAAAACATATTTTAAATCATTTAATTTATAATATTAATGCTCTGTAAATTTACATTGAGCACTATTTTGTAAAAATAAAAATATCTATAAGAACACCGGATTATATATCTTACTGTTCTTTTTCTTTATTTATATATATATATATATATATATATATATATATATATATATATATATATATATATATATATATATATGTGTGTGTGTGTGTGTGTGTGTGTGTTTATTATAAACAGAGCCTTTACTTGTATATACTTGTATATTTTATCTATAAAAGAATGTATAAACATAAAAATGTCTTAAAAATAATTATCGAACTTTGTCCATTTCATAATGTGTGACGTCATTTGTTTACATTTGATACGCTATGAGCATGAATGTACGTGAGAGATTCATAGAAGATTGAAGTTCAAATACAGTAAATTCGACCTTGTTAACCGAACGCTCCTCTGTGGCCAACTCGGTTAAAAGCACGTCAAGCTAAATGACGGTTCCGTATAGGATACAGGTTCGAATCCTGTCGGAGGACAAATATTTTCTGTGATAATTTCTCAGACATTCGGGTTGGTAAATGTTGTTTAATACTGTTTATTATAAACAGAGCATTTACTTAAATATTTGTATCTATAAAAACAATGTATAAATATGTCTTAAAATAATTGTAGAACTTTGTCCATTTCATATATATATATTAAGAGAAAGAATAGTAAGATTTATAATCCGGTGTTCTTATTAATTATTTTTATTTTTTAAAAAACAGTGCTCAATACAATTCTGCAGAGCATAAATATAAAAAAAATATTAATTTAAAAATATGGTTCCATCGCTACACAGGAATTACCATGTTTCAAAAACAGAAACTAAAAACTTCAAACTTAATTAGAGAATTAAATTAAAATCCCTAGGACTGTTTCATTTTCAAGCGAATTTTGGAATAACTTATTTTATAAGCACATACATTCTTAATATTAGTTGCTAAGGATACGGGAAATTCAATTATTTTGATAAGGGTTGGTAGGGTATTCATTTTCACTGACAACTATTGTATCAAAATATGAGTTACTTTCGAAATTAGGTTTAGTTAAGGTAGGGTAGGTGTTCCTGTTCAACAAATGATGACATCCGTTTTTCGCATTTATTGAATTTCCACGTATCTTTAGCAACTAATATTAAAAATGTATGCTGTCTGTGAGTATGTATAGGTTTCTGCGAATTTAAAGCATTTCAACTATTCAAATTAATCCTCCTGAAGATGGTCACAGATGAGATCGAAAGTACTTGGGAAAATAAAAACTATGCGAAAGAAAATTTTGGTAATTTTCTTACTCAATTTTCTAAGTGTATCAAAAAATGAATCCGTAAACTTGGAAGGATTACAACGAGAACTAGTCGACTTGATATGTCTAAATTATTTAACCAAACCTCTTTATAGATATAATTATGGACATGACGTTTCAACCAAGTACCCTCTGGTCATCATCAGGTGTACATTGATATCAATTGATTATTGTGATATTCTGTCCCTGTGATATCAGAATGTTTCAGCTGCCTCTTTCAGTGTCGTTTTTGTTTCCACTTTCCTTAGAATTTTCTCACTGCTCACGTGAACCGTCTATGGTATTCTCAGCATCCTTCTGTAGACCCACAAGTCTCCTCTTGATCTACTGGAACGTTGTTCACTGACGACATCGCAGCGCAGCAGTTTCGAACGAAATTTTCTTGTTTCTTATTAATTTGTTTAGCTTCTGGAAGGCATATTTCGTTTATCAAAGATACCTTCGGATTTCAGCGTCACATTTTCCTTCGTGTTTTAAAACCAGGGCATGATACGGGGACCCACTAATCTATGATACTGTGGTGGAGTATTTTCACAGTGGAGGCTTGTTAAGTCGTCCTAAATTAGGTCCCACGTACAAAACGTTAGGAACTTGGAAAATAAGAGTCAATGGCGCAGCAATCTAGTTGTGATGGTTGGTACTTCAAACGTCCGAATCTCGACTGACGCGCTCAACACCATTCTGCCAGACTTGCCACTGCTACTCTTACTAATTATCTATGGGAGAGTCCATTACAATAGAATAGGTACTATGGCATAACAGATACGTAGCCCCATTCTATTACATCACAGGTTTTATAAGGTAGTATTCATATAAAATACAAATTGTATTCTAACCTAATTATGTACAATAACGAATGATATGAAATATAGGTAAACAATTCATTTAGAAATATTGAAAATAAATACAATATATTTACATTTAAATAACGTAAATATATTGTTGGGACTGCTGTCTTCTTATCTATTGCCATATTCACGATGTGTATACGCCATCCCGTGCAGCCGGCCTTGTGCCACATGATGCCCTCGTGTGTGTGTGTGTGTGGGTGGGGGTGACTGAATATCGCCACCCCGTGCAGCTGGTTTAAGAAACATCAAAGGGAGAAACAAGCGACTCTATTAAGGCTCACCATCTGGTTGGATTTAATGGGAGCATCTTTGATTATTTCCACGAAGGTGACTTTGATATCAATTAATTTCCAATCACCTGAAGAAGGCCGAAGCGTACAACGGCCGAAACGTCGTGAATATGACAATAAAAATGAGAACAACAGACCGAACGATGTAAATAGTGTAAAAAAAATAGTTACAATACTTCATCTCAGAAATAGAGACAAGTGCAATGTATCTAAATACAAAATATAGACATGTCATAATAGATCATTTCATTTTAAATAAATCAACAATGTTTTGCGTTTTTTTTTAACATCAACTTGAGATTTTCTTGATAAGATGTTGAATAATTTTAACACATACGACATTATTTCAGTCTCTTTTTCTTTATTGCTATCTATATATTTCTTTCTTTCAATAACTTCTTTCTTTCTTTCTTTCTTTCTTTCTTTCTTTCTTTCTTTCTTCCTTCCTTCCTTCCAATAACTTCTTTCTTTCTTTCTTAACCGATCTCTTTTCTTTATTGCTATCTATATATTTCTTTCTTCCAATAATTTCTTTCTTTCTTTCTTTCTTTCTTTCTTTCTTTCTTTCTTTCTTTCTTTCTTTCTTTCAATAACTTCTTTCTTTCTTTCTTTCTTTCTTTCTTTCTTTCTTTCTTTCTTTCTTAACCGATCTCTTTTTCTTTATTGCTATCTATATATTTCTTTCTTCCAATAACTTCTTTCTTTCTTTCTTTCTTTCTTTCTTTCTTTCTTTCTTTCTTTCTTTCTTTCTTAACCGATCTCTTTTTCTTTATTGCTATCTATATATTTCTTTCTTCCAATAACTTCTTTCTTTCTTTTTTCTTTCTTTCTTTCTTTCTTTTTTTTTTTTCTTTCTTTCTTAACCGATCTCTTTTCTTTATTGCTATCTATATATTTCTTTCTTCCAATAACTTCTTTCTTTCTTTCTTTCTTTCTTTCTTTCTTTCTTTCTTTCTTTCTATGACTCTCGTTATTTCTGTAACTATATATACATACAGTTATATACATATATATATATATATATGTATATATATATACTTCTAACCATTACACCCAAGGCAAGGCAATAAACTCACTGGATGGATTTAATTTAATCTTTGAAGTTTAAATCGGAGTTTCTAACATATGAAGGTGACTTTGCTATTAATCACTTCATTTAATCATTTCCAGTCACCTGAAGAAGGCCGATGCGTACAACGGCCGAAACGTCGTGAACATGGCAATAAAGATGAGGACAACAGTTCGAGAAATGTAAATAATTA